CCCCTTCCACTCCCCTCCGTCTCCGCACCCTGCTCCCCCCTCCAGACCCACCCATGCCCCGTCCCAACCCTGTACTCTGCCAGGGCTGGGCTGTGGGCCCCCACACCCCTGGCACAGTGCTGCCCTCCCCTCTCTGCTCCAGATCGAGACCATCCAGCAGGGCACGGAGAAGCAGGTGCAGAGCAGCCAGGACAAGCTGCAGGCTATGTGGGTGCGCCACAGACAGGAGCCGGGTGATGAGAGTGGGCCAGGGGGCAGCCAGGAGGCCGCGGGAGGTGGCACCCCTGCACTGGAGGTACTGGGCCAGGCAGCTGGGCTGGACACCCCCCCCGGCAGGCCGCAGCAGCACTCAGCTCTGCCCTGTCCCTCGCAGGTGGAGACCCAGGCCCTGGCCATATCCCGCAACCTGACCCAGGAGCTGCAGAGCACCTACCTGAACCTGATGGCCAGTGCCCAGGGGCTGCCTGCCAGCCTGCAGGAGAAGATGCAGCAGGTGCACCAGAGCATGGCTGAGCTGCATGCCTTCTTCTCCTCTGCCACCTCCTTCCAGGACCTGTCCAGTGCCGTGCTGGCCCAGAGCCGCGAGCGCGTGGCCAAGGCCTGGGAAGCCATGGATGAGCTGGTGGAGTTCCTGGTGCAGAACCCGCCGGTGACGTGGCTGATGGAGTCGCTGGCTCAGGATGGGCAGCCGGGGCAGGACGAGGGGGAACGGCGCGACATCCTCCGTGTGCTCAAGGACTATGAGCCTCAGGACTGCGGGGACTGAGACAAGGGGCAATGCCCCCTGCTCCAGCTGTCCCCAGCCCTGAGGCCTGTGCTGGTGACTTGTGATGCCCGGTGCCCCTCATTCCCTGGGGCCACACTCGCCTCTGGGGCTTGTCCTCAGCACAGGCCTGTTCCCTCATTAATAAGTCACTGCTGCAGGATCCTGCTGGCCTTGTCCTTGGAGAAGAGTGGGGGTGGGTGTGGGTCTTGCCTGCAGGGAGGAGCTGGCATCTGCAGCCGAGTGACTGGTGCCACGTAGCCACGAGCTGGTTGACATGGTGCAGCCACCACTGAACTGTCCCAGGCAAGAGCGCCAGACAGGAAAGGACAAACACCAGGCTCAGTCTCATCAAGGCCAAGTCCAGAGGGCACATCCCGGTCCCAGCGCAGTGCAGGGGTGAGTGTATGTGACCATGAGATGTGTTAAGGGCCATGATTTAACTCGCCCTCCTGGCCTTCAACTCAGTGCCGCTCTGCCCTGGCCCTTCAGCCAGCCCAATGCATGTAGGTGTGCATGCGTGTGTGTGTGTGTGCGCATGCATATGTGCATGCATGCGTGCACATGCATGTACAAGAGAGCCTGGAGCTCACTGGACTACAAGTTCCCAGAAAGAAAAACAGCTACAGAAGTGAGCGCAGCCCCGAGGCTCCTGCCACGTCCATCTTGGCTGCAGCCCAACTCAGCTCGAGGCCCCCTCTCCTCACCCTGCCCTGAGCACTGCAACAAAGCCACTGGCTAGCAGGACCAAAAGTGCAGAGGCAGGGGAAGGGGAGGGCGGGGTCTCACCCTGTTCATATCACCAGGGATTTGGCCCAGACCCAGGAGACTGCAGCTCCTGGCTTTTCTGCCAGGAGGGGGTAGAAAACCCAGTTTCTCAGGGCAGGCAGGGGCAGGGTCTCAGCAAAAGGAGATGGACCCATCTTGATGGCCATTGAAGGTTGACTTGATGGACCGTCAAGTCAGCCTTGGAAGGCAAGGGATTAATTGTTGGCTTTCCCACTGGCGCCCTGTGCCCTTGGCCATGTCCCTTGTCTTGTGAAATGAAGAGAATGGGTGAAGAGTGGAAAAAGCACTGCTTGCTTGGTCCGTTTAAAACCTACAAGCCCCTCTGGGAAGGCTCAGCCTGGACTTAAAAGCTTCTCCTGTCTCAATACCAGCTGGAGCAAAAGGCAGTACGACAGCTCTGCCCACTAAAGGGGGCAAGTCAGGGGAGAGGGCACTGCTTCAGGGCAGCACGCGCTGCTTCTCCAGCAAGGGGTGCGGCTGTGCAGACCCATCCCCTGCACCCTGCTGGCAGGACCTCTACCCCAGTGGTTCTTGGCCTGGTTGGACTCCAGCTCCCCAGCCCAGAACATGCCAGCTCTTTGCTCTCACTCATTTCTCAACAATGGAAAAATACCAGAGCCCCTCATCTACGGGAAAGAGCTCAAAAGACAGCGACAGGCAGAGCAGTTCCCACAGCTCATTCCCCTTGGGAATCATCAGGTGCATCTTGGAAGCCACATGTAGGTGCTTGCACCTTGCAGCGCTCATAGGAAAGGATTGCACAGGGGCCCGCTTGGGAATCACGGTTCTCCCCCTCACCCCATGGAGGAGAGTAGAGAACTCAAGTAACCTCCACAGAGCCTGCCCCGTGCTAGCTGCAGCTGGGCTGGTGTTCACAGGGTCAAAGGCTCCAGGCTTTTATTTGGGTTTTGTTCATAGAAACACAAGGCAGCTGCAAGAGGCCCACGCCCCTAGGCTGCCACAGCTGCCCCAAACTGGCAGGGTGCTGAGCACAGCTGGCACTGGGACAAGGCCACGCAACGCTGTGCTTGGACTGCAGGGCAAACAACAGGCTGACACATGGCCTCCTTGTCAGCTGGGCAAGTCTTTATTGTACAGGTACAAAAGCTTCAGATCCTTGCAAAAAAAAAAAGACAGGCAGACAGACAGAGACAAACAGATCCAACCCTGCTGGCTGCCCCTGCTCCCCCGAGCAACAGGTATCCCTCACCTCCAGCCCCCTCTACAGCCAGCGGGATATCCCTAGAGAACGCTCCGTCCTCCTGCTGGAGGAATGAGATGCCGAGAGCCAAACTGGGCATCTCTGGCAGTCCCATAGACGTCACAGGATAGGGCCGAGGGCTTCAGATTGGGGGAGCACAGGGTTCTGGCTGCTGGGATGGCTTCTGCTTACAAGGTTGGGGGAGCCTGACCTGCACAGCA